CCTAGAGTAGTTTTTAAATTCACAGAAAGAAAAGTGAGAGCCCAGAGTGGTGACACCTGCCTGTAATCCCAGCACTCTGGAGGCTAAGGCAGGAGGACTGATGTGAGCTCACGACCAGCTTGTGCTACAAAGCAAGCTCAAGGCCAGCCTCTGCGCTGTGAGACCCTGTCTCAAAAGGACAACAAAAAACAAAAAAAAGAGAGAAAAATGAACGAAAAGTAGAGTTTCTGGATGCCCCGCAATGTGCGCACACACGCGCACGCACGCACGCACGCACGCACACACACACACACACACACACACACAGGGCTCCCCTACAAATAGCAGCCCTAGTGCATCATCTCATTTGTTCAAGGTGGTGAACTCACCATAACACACATCACAGTCTAGAAGTGTATGTGGATGCCATGCGTTCTGTGACTAGATCAGCGTGCGGTGCCTCTCAGCATAGTCTTCCCTGCTGTGGCAGTCCCGTGTCCACCGTTCGTCTCCCCTCTTCACCCGGAAACGCTCACACCCTGCACCCCTCTTTGGTGCTCTTCCAGCCCAGCCCCACTTCCCCTTTCTCCCCTCAGCTAGCTGGTAGTCACACGATACACACGGTCTACCTGACAGCATCCACAGGACTCATAGGGTCTGTGCATTTTTTTTTCCACTCGGTTTTCCTGATCTCAAGGCATCAACTGCCTTATAGTTTTCAGACTTTTCCCCCTTTTCTTATTGTTGCTGTTTTGTTTTACAGGGTCTCAGCCTAGCCTTGAGTTCACTGTATAGTCCAGGGTGGCCCAACTCATGATCCTCCTGCCTCAGCTTCCCAAGTACTGGAGTACAGGTGTGCGCCACTGTGCCCAGCCTTTTCCTTTTTTGTTGACCTCATAAAGTTTTCTCAACTACCAGGCATGTCAAGTATTAGAATGCATCAACTGTAAACCAGGGCTCACACCTCTGCTCAGAGTTTGCTGCTGGTGATTGTTGTAGGCTGCTATTTCTCTGGTGACCTTTTGAAATTACTTTTGCCAAGTCTGTATTACTTGTGTGTGTGGCCACTGAAGCCCGTTCCACTGGCTTGGTGGGCAGCTGGTGTTTCAGCAGAGTTTCCTTAAATGACTAAAGCCCACCACCACCACCATGAAAAGGAAAGAGGAAAACACTCTCTTGGTCTTTACAAATAGCCTGTGTGTTGGGGGCCCTCTGAATACTCAGGCTGCTTATAATTCTGTCTTAGCTCTCTCTTTCTGAAGGTTTGCAGCCAAAGGTCAAATACAGGTGAAGGTGCAGGGCCTTTTCAGGGTCTTTTGGAGCAGGTAGCCTGCCCTAGGTATGTGTGCAGCCTTCTTGATTCTGTGGTAAGTGCAGGAGTTTTCTTGCTGTTGTTGTTTTTAAAACGTACTGATCCTTTTAGGTTATTATTATTATTTGATACAGGGCCTCATGATGCAGTTCAAACTCGAAGTGATCCTCCTGTCTCAGCATCCCGTGCTGGGATTACAGGCATCATGCTCAGTTCCTGGCCAGCATGGCGTGTTTGGGTTCCGGGGCTGGCACAGCATACAGTACTGGGGATTGAACTTGGGACCTTGCACTTGCCAGATCGGCACGTATGCTGCTGAGCTGGCTCCCCAGTCCCTAAAATAAAGTAATGAATAATTTAAAAAGTCCTATTTTTTTTTTTTCATGGCTGGGGATTGAGCCTCAGGCACTGGGGATGCCTCATGCCAGATAAGCGATCTACCGCTGAACTAAGAAGATAAATTACATCCCCAGCCCGGGAGCTCTTAACATACCTCATTCCCAAATTTCCTCTCCTAAACTCTTTCTTTTTTTTTTTCAAAGTTTAATTCACATAAAGTTTAATCAGTCAAGTTAATGAAAATATCAAAATTTTTGGGTTAGTGTATGGCAGCGAAAATTTAACTTCTGTTGTAAATAATACAGTATTTAGTGTTTCCATTGACAATCTATGCAGCAGAAAGAGCAATTGCATTAAATCTTAGTTCGTCAGGATCACGTTCCATAAACTTCTTGCAAACTTCTATGGCATCCTCTAGTAAAGTCTCATCACTAGTTTTCCCATGGTTAATTGGAAATGGTTTCCACCCATCTAATTCATAGAGATGCCCATCTACATGAACTAATGCAATAAAATGAAGGTCTACTTTTTCATCTATATTTGGTGCCTCAGTCTGACCTTTGTGGGCACTGGTCTCATGAGTAACTCGAATAGCGTCATAGTTCTCCAAGTATCTGGCTCATTCTTCAGGGCTCATTGACACAGACTCCTCCAGGAATTTTTTCAAGGTTGATCCAGATTCAAAGTGCATCTTGTCTTTATTGTTCACAATAGCATGGATCAGTCCAATTGTTCCGCAGGCATTGCTGATGGTTTGCTTCATGAAATACACTGATGATGTAACATCTTGCCCCTGAGATTTTATTTTTTCCTCCTCTTCTGTTCTGAATACTTCATACTTTTCTGTAATAGGAAATAGAAGTAACACTGCACAGACTGGTCTTGGTACCATGCTAAGGAGTTCAGGATCCATTCCATATACATCAACAAACTGCCAGTTTGGGTGTAGACCTAATTGTTTCAGGAACTGGTTGGTAACCTCAGGGTTGGCCTCCAGCGGCAACCAGCGCTGACCCTCCATGGCCGCTGCACCCGGCCCCTCTCCAGCTGTGACCCCTAAACTCTTTCTTGCCAGAATGTTTTATTGCTTGTCTGGCTGCTGCAACCAATACTTTCCCTCTTACATTCTTTCAGTAAAAGCTCAAATGTCACCCCTTGCTCTACTTCCTTAGGGAGCCCCTGGGCAAGTCCAAATGGGAGCCAATGGATCTCTGGGAACACATCTGTGGCCTGCTCTCTGGCACCAGAGGCTTGCCCTGAGTTCATAGTGGCAGCCTAACTGCCCCCAGGGATCTAGAGATGGGAGTGTAGCAAGCAGGCAATTTAAAATGGCAAAGCACTCAGTAACACAGCAGTTGCAAAACTCTTCTTTTTTTTGTGAGACAGGGTCTCACTCTGCAGTCCAGATTGGCTTTGAACTCACCATAGATAGCTCAGCCTTACCTCAAACTTGCAGGGATCCTTCTGCCTCAGCTTTGGAGTTCTGGGATCAGAGGCGTGTGCTGCTATGCCTGGCTCTGGGCAATTTCTTTGTTCATTACGCTTTCCTGGGTTGTTGCAAGGTTGTGGCAAGAGTCTAGAATTCCACAAAAGGTGCTTCTGACAGCTGTTTGCCAGTTGTTCGTGCTGAGGGTGGAGCCCTGAATTTCTCTCTGCTAATTTTGGTGATGTTCCACTCAAATTCTTAACATTTCTGTTTTTTTCTTTGATTGATTGATTTTATGTATTTGGTACAGGATCTTACTACGTACTCACAGTGATCCTCCGGTTTTCAGTCTCCCCAGCGCTGCGATTACAGGTGTGTGCCACCATGCTCCATCTCGGTGGTCGGCTCACTGTGCCCAGGGGTGGGACTGGCATGGCCTGTGGTGCAGGTGATCGAACCCAGAACACTGGCTTGCCCAAGCAGGGGCTTAGTCCGCTGAGCTATCTAGCTGGCCCAAAATTTGTTTTTCACTTTTTGTTTGAGTACTTTCAACTTAAGCTCTTTTAGACTCTGGATTAAATAATGTCAGTCTCATGCATGCATTAGAAAGAGACAAGTGAGTCAATGGCATTTGGGACACCACACTTTGTACCATGGACTCGGGTACAAAGGCCTGCCCCAGTGTGCAGGAAACCTAACAACGCAGTCCTTCCTGTTCTGTTCTGTTGTGACAGTGTCTCGCTGTGTTGTCCTGGTGGCCTGGATCCGGGCTCTGCAGACTCCTTGCCTTGCCTCAGCATAGCTGGGACCTCCAACATAAGCCACCGCACCCCGTTCCCACGTCTTCTCATCTCCCTCATTCACTTTACATTTGCATGTGCATTTATTACCCTATGTTTCCTACTTGTGTGCAATTTCTCTTTCTTGTGAAAAGAACCAACTACATCAAACTCAACAGCACCTCTTTTTGGATATTTAACGGGAAGAGCCTGAGCTAGGCAGTTGGCTAAAGCGCTGCACGGGCGCCAGGGGGCACTGCTCCACGGTGGGCCTGGACGAGAGCTCACAGGAGCCCAGGGCTGGGGCGCTTCAACCCGGCGGCCGCGTCGAGGGGGATTAGGGGTGCAGACGCTCTTTGCCAGGAGGGCCTGGCTGCTCCATCGGGCTGGACACCTCGGCTAAGTCGCTGAGCCCCGATCTCCTAGGCCACCTGGGCCCCGGAAGCCTGAGACCGGGAGCAGAGCGCGCATGAACCCTGAAAAACCTGCACACGGCAGGCTTCGGACCGCCGCGTGGGCTGAGCTGCGGCTGCGGGACACTGCCATGACCTGAGCCCAGGCCGTCTCTGTGCACGGCTTCCCAGCTGGGGTCCAGTCGGGAGCCCCGCCCTCCCCGTTCTCGCTCCTCGGTGAGGACGGGAGGTGCCCAGGACGCTGAGTCCCTGTTTTGATTTCACTCCCAGCTTAGAGGAGCGAGGACGCTCTGAACTCCACAAACAGGAAGGAGGGCAGGCCCTTAGCGCGGCAGAGGGAGGGTCATTCCCAGCAGCGCGGGCCGGGCGGGGTGCGCCCCTCCTCACGCGCCCGC